AACAGGAAAGAAGAGCTGGTTACTCCGTTGCTGTTTCTTCACAGTGAGACAGCATGACAGCTCCAGGTGTTCCCTCCTGAATCCATTGCCTAAGGACCAAGATATTCCTGGCTTGAATGAAATCAAAGTGGTCCAAGTGAAAACTAATCATATTTGATTTTGGACCCTGTATGACTAGAAAGGTAGCTTTCATTCACTCAATCAACAAAAGTATTTTGAGAGTCTACAAAGGTTAAGCAATATGGCTGATGTAGACTGAATGGTGAGAAAACACACACTGTCTTCATCCAGTTTACAATCAAGTGGGAAGGAGGCATTATACATTGAGCAAATAGTAAGAGTAAGTGTGAAATTATAACTTGATGGCACTGTGTCATTTACATAATTTAAAAGCAAGAAAGAACCACTGATTTTTAAAAACATGCATTACATATTTTTTAAGATATCATTGATATACAATCTTATGAAGGTTTAACATGAGCAACATTATGGTTTCAACATTCACCCATATTATCAAAGTCCCCTCCCCACCCCATTGCAGTCACTGTCCATCACTGTAGTAAGATGCTATAGAGTCATTACTTGTCTTCTCCATGCCATAATTGCCTTCCCCATGACTTACTTATATTGTACGTGTTAATTATAATGCTCCTTAATCCCCTTCTCCCACCATTCCCAGCCCCTTCCTTTCATAACTGCTAGTCTCTTCTTGGAGTTTGTGAGTCTGCTAAACATGTATTACATATTAAAAGCATAAAAGCATGAATGGGAAAGAAACACAATGAAACTTTTTGGCAATGATGTGGGAAATCAGAACCCTCATAGTCCACTGGTGGGAAAGAAATAATTTTAAATGGAATGGTGCAGTCCATTTCCAAAACAGCTTAGCAGTTCCTCAGAGAGTCAGCCACAGCAGTTCCACTCTTGTTATATACCTAAAAGAATTGAATACATGTTAATACATACATGAATGTTTCTAGCAGCATTATTCATAATAGCCAAAAGTTGGCCAGGATCAGTAGTTTCCAGAGATGGAGGGACACTGTGCTTTAAAAATCCCAGGCCTTATATGAGTGTCACCAACACTCTTGGGTGCTGGGGGATCTTGGCAGCCTGGAAGCCAATAGCCTCATGTGAGAAGCTGACCTCTCACTAGTGAGCCCACTCCTCCTAAACTAAAAGTAAGAGGATGTCCTACAAGAAGGGTGTGTTAATTTGCTGCCAAACAAAGTACCACAAACTGGCTGGCTTAAACAATAGACACTTACTGCTTCCCAGTTCTGCAAACTAGAAAACTGACATCAAGGTGTTGGCTGGTTGGGTCTTCCAAGTGCTGGAAGGCACAGTGTGTTCTAGACCTCTGTTCTTCGATAGTAAATGGCTAGGAGACTCCCTTGATGCCTGTCGGTCTACAAATTTCCCTCTTTGATAAGGACACCAATTCTGTTGGATTAGGGGCCCGCCTTGCCCCAGTATGACCTCATCTCAATGAATTACATCTGCAACGACCCTATTTCCAAGTAAGGCACCTTCTGGGGTACTGGGAGTTAGGGTTTCAACATGAGTCTTGGGATGGATGCAGTTCAGCTCCCAAAAAAAGGCGTTTTCTTCTGATCTCTGATCTAAAAAAATGGGGAAAACGCTGAGGGCCATCCGGTTGTACATGAGAGAATGATGCTTAGGAAATGCTTTCACCTTAATCTTGCAAACTCTGCAAGGAAGGGAATTCAAGTGTCACGCCACTCTACAGATGAGAAAGCTGAAATGTCTCAGCACTTATTTCAGGCACTGTCATGGGCCACCTCTGCAGAGGGCCGATCACAGTGATTTTTCCTAATTTCATTCTCAAAGGGTGGTCTTTCTTTTCTTAGACTTTCACAGGGGGTCCCTGTGTGCTCACTACAGCACCAACTGGAATTAATAAATAAGGGTCCTTGTAATAGGGTGATGGAATTGTGGATGGGTTTCTCTTTTCTTGATCTATTCTCATTTTTCCAAATGTTTGTAATGTGGGAAGGTTTCATAATTTAAAATTTTCATGTTAAATTTTTTGGAGTGAGTTAGAGGGGCTGAGTTCTGAATATTCACATCTGGGAAGGCTAAGACCTTCCTGGTGCTGCTTGGTCCCCAGCACTTACAACCTGGCTGGGGCTTTTCTGTGCATAAGTGAGAAAGGGCAGCAGCATTTTGTGAGCCCCGGTTCTGCCCCAGATCAGGGGGTGGTCTGGTGATGGTACCCCAGAGATGGTCACTTCACCCAGCTAATCCATTCCAGGCTGGGCTGACTTTTGAAACTGATGACCTTAGTATGGAAGACCTTGGGACTGGCTATAGAGAGAAAATGAAATAAGAATGGACCCAGACCTGGCCATTCCCCTCCTGCTCAGTCCATTTGGCTAGAATGGGAATGAGAAGAGAGGGCAAAAAGTGGTGGGGAAGTGGATGAAGTGAGGGAAGAAGACCCCAGCCCAGGAGGAGAGAATGCCAATGAAGAACCTGGGCGCCTCATCTTCCTGCCTCCTAGGCTGGAGGAGATTCTTGCTCTGTACGCTCCAGAAATCCTCTCAAGGACAAGAACCCAAAGGCTAAACCAACCCCTAGGCCAACAAGGTGGAAGCTGAGTGGCTGAAGCAGCAGGGTCTGCCGTGAGTCTCTGGTAGCAGCTAGCAGCACCTGCACATTCTGAGCATTTTGTTCTCAGGTCCAACATCTAGGAATTTGCTCAGACTGACCCTTGGCAAGCATCAAATCTCAGGCATTAAAGAACCTTATGCAGTAGGTTCCTAGGAAGCATCTTAGGCAGGTGGCCATGAACACTCCTATTAGCAGAACCACCCAAAGGGGACTAAACACCAGAGGTGGATTCAGGAAGAAAATGCGACAGTCCTACTGTCTGTCCTTCTCTCAAGAGACAGATGGCACAATTGTCTACTACGGGACAATTGTCCTCAGCATCTTCTCTTTGCCCTTTCTGAACCTTCCCCTAAATTTCCAGGTAATAGCACAGAAAGAGACTCTGGCCCTCTCAAGGCCTCCCAGGCCCACCCCGGGGCCCCATCTCTGCAAGCAGTCTTCCAGGTCTCCCTTCCATTGTCTGAGCTCTATTCCCTAGGGACATGTGTCCCATCTCATGGAAATCACCAGGTCCTAAGCACACGGGTCCCCTTCCCTAGCAATTTGTGTGACTCTGATTTAGCCTATAACTGGGGACTGGGGGACAGACATTTTCCTGTGCTCTTTAATTCCAGTATGTAATTAATTAATCCTTTAATAAATCAACAAATGACTGAATGAGTCTTCAGGACATTCAGCATACCGTTTTATTAAAACTTAATTTGGAGTTTATGGACTAGCAGAAAGACCAGAAAACACCCACGACAATGAGCAACTGTTTTGCTCTCCAAGCACCATCCTGGATGCAGGAGCTTGGCAGAGGCTCATTCCCTGAGACAGGCAAGGCTGAATGTGCTGGGAGAAGGGAAAAGTAGCAGGATGTGAATTCTACTGAAAGCTTCTAAATTATGGATAGGGCATTGCAATTCTTTTGTACCAGTGTTGATGTTCATTAGGACTGAGGGCACTTGTCTGCATAGAATGATGACACTACCAGCAAAGAAGTTTCCTGGATGGGCCAATTGCTCAAAGATTCATTGTTTTAGCCACAGTTGGGTATCAATTTTATTTGGTTTCCTGACAGTTTGTACTCTCCTGGGACTATGGCACCATGTGTGGCCTTGAGTCATCAACAACATGTCTGGAGGGGTTCTTCCCAATAAAGTCATGTCACCCAATTCACTTCTGGCTCACAGCTATCATTGCCAGTTTATGGGTATGTAGGTGTCCTGGATCTGGGGAAATAATTCCATTTCAAACCCTATGCCCCATTGCCAGGCCATTAAGACAGGCCATATGTCCTGGTGTTTTTAGTTTTGAATATTCTCATCATATGTTCATTCGCATGCTCTCCTCTGTGACGGACTGAAGGACGAGGAGAGACAGTCATGGTACACAAGGTCTCAGCATTGGGCCCCTTGTTACTCCTGTGGGCATGACCCGGCATCAGTTGCCCTGTTCCCAAAGCCTCCCCACCTGCTGCAGAGCCCTAGCAGTGGGCCCGCACTGCCCAAAGACAGGAGACCGGGGACAGCCCTACCTCCTAGGGCCAGGCGGGGCCACCTGTTCACCCACTGTTTTTCTTTAAATGTCTATGGGCTGGGGCTAGATGCTCCTGATGCCAGCAGATGAGCCAAGTGCCAAAGCATTATGAGCTTCTGCTCCAGCAGCCTCTGCTCCACACCACAGGCCCCAGCTCCACCCCGGAATTGGGAGGGATAGTGTGGGAACAGGAAAGAAGAGCTGGTTACTCCGTTGCTGTTTCTTCACAGTGAGACAGCATGACAGCTCCAGGTGTTCCCTCCTGAATCCATTGCCTAAGGACCAAGATATTCCTGGCTTGAATGAAATCAAAGTGGTCCAAGTGAAAACTAATCATATTTGATTTTGGACCCTGTATGACTAGAAAGGTAGCTTTCATTCACTCAATCAACAAAAGTATTTTGAGAGTCTACAAAGGTTAAGCAATATGGCTGATGTAGACTGAATGGTGAGAAAACACACACTGTCTTCATCCAGTTTACAATCAAGTGGGAAGGAGGCATTATACATTGAGCAAATAGTAAGAGTAAGTGTGAAATTATAACTTGATGGCACTGTGTCATTTACATAATTTAAAAGCAAGAAAGAACCACTGATTTTTAAAAACATGCATTACATATTTTTTAAGATATCATTGATATACAATCTTATGAAGGTTTAACATGAGCAACATTATGGTTTCAACATTCACCCATATTATCAAAGTCCCCTCCCCACCCCATTGCAGTCACTGTCCATCACTGTAGTAAGATGCTATAGAGTCATTACTTGTCTTCTCCATGCCATAATTGCCTTCCCCATGACTTACTTATATTGTACGTGTTAATTATAATGCTCCTTAATCCCCTTCTCCCACCATTCCCAGCCCCTTCCTTTCATAACTGCTAGTCTCTTCTTGGAGTTTGTGAGTCTGCTAAACATGTATTACATATTAAAAGCATAAAAGCATGAATGGGAAAGAAACACAATGAAACTTTTTGGCAATGATGTGGGAAATCAGAACCCTCATAGTCCACTGGTGGGAAAGAAATAATTTTAAATGGAATGGTGCAGTCCATTTCCAAAACAGCTTAGCAGTTCCTCAGAGAGTCAGCCACAGCAGTTCCACTCTTGTTATATACCTAAAAGAATTGAATACATGTTAATACATACATGAATGTTTCTAGCAGCATTATTCATAATAGCCAAAAGTTGGCCAGGATCAGTAGTTTCCAGAGATGGAGGGACACTGTGCTTTAAAAATCCCAGGCCTTATATGAGTGTCACCAACACTCTTGGGTGCTGGGGGATCTTGGCAGCCTGGAAGCCAATAGCCTCATGTGAGAAGCTGACCTCTCACTAGTGAGCCCACTCCTCCTAAACTAAAAGTAAGAGGATGTCCTACAAGAAGGGTGTGTTAATTTGCTGCCAAACAAAGTACCACAAACTGGCTGGCTTAAACAATAGACACTTACTGCTTCCCAGTTCTGCAAACTAGAAAACTGACATCAAGGTGTTGGCTGGTTGGGTCTTCCAAGTGCTGGAAGGCACAGTGTGTTCTAGACCTCTGTTCTTCGATAGTAAATGGCTAGGAGACTCCCTTGATGCCTGTCGGTCTACAAATTTCCCTCTTTGATAAGGACACCAATTCTGTTGGATTAGGGGCCCGCCTTGCCCCAGTATGACCTCATCTCAATGAATTACATCTGCAACGACCCTATTTCCAAGTAAGGCACCTTCTGGGGTACTGGGAGTTAGGGTTTCAACATGAGTCTTGGGATGGATGCAGTTCAGCTCCCAAAAAAAGGCGTTTTCTTCTGATCTCTGATCTAAAAAAATGGGGAAAACGCTGAGGGCCATCCGGTTGTACATGAGAGAATGATGCTTAGGAAATGCTTTCACCTTAATCTTGCAAACTCTGCAAGGAAGGGAATTCAAGTGTCACGCCACTCTACAGATGAGAAAGCTGAAATGTCTCAGCACTTATTTCAGGCACTGTCATGGGCCACCTCTGCAGAGGGCCGATCACAGTGATTTTTCCTAATTTCATTCTCAAAGGGTGGTCTTTCTTTTCTTAGACTTTCACAGGGGGTCCCTGTGTGCTCACTACAGCACCAACTGGAATTAATAAATAAGGGTCCTTGTAATAGGGTGATGGAATTGTGGATGGGTTTCTCTTTTCTTGATCTATTCTCATTTTTCCAAATGTTTGTAATGTGGGAAGGTTTCATAATTTAAAATTTTCATGTTAAATTTTTTGGAGTGAGTTAGAGGGGCTGAGTTCTGAATATTCACATCTGGGAAGGCTAAGACCTTCCTGGTGCTGCTTGGTCCCCAGCACTTACAACCTGGCTGGGGCTTTTCTGTGCATAAGTGAGAAAGGGCAGCAGCATTTTGTGAGCCCCGGTTCTGCCCCAGATCAGGGGGTGGTCTGGTGATGGTACCCCAGAGATGGTCACTTCACCCAGCTAATCCATTCCAGGCTGGGCTGACTTTTGAAACTGATGACCTTAGTATGGAAGACCTTGGGACTGGCTATAGAGAGAAAATGAAATAAGAATGGACCCAGACCTGGCCATTCCCCTCCTGCTCAGTCCATTTGGCTAGAATGGGAATGAGAAGAGAGGGCAAAAAGTGGTGGGGAAGTGGATGAAGTGAGGGAAGAAGACCCCAGCCCAGGAGGAGAGAATGCCAATGAAGAACCTGGGCGCCTCATCTTCCTGCCTCCTAGGCTGGAGGAGATTCTTGCTCTGTACGCTCCAGAAATCCTCTCAAGGACAAGAACCCAAAGGCTAAACCAACCCCTAGGCCAACAAGGTGGAAGCTGAGTGGCTGAAGCAGCAGGGTCTGCCGTGAGTCTCTGGTAGCAGCTAGCAGCACCTGCACATTCTGAGCATTTTGTTCTCAGGTCCAACATCTAGGAATTTGCTCAGACTGACCCTTGGCAAGCATCAAATCTCAGGCATTAAAGAACCTTATGCAGTAGGTTCCTAGGAAGCATCTTAGGCAGGTGGCCATGAACACTCCTATTAGCAGAACCACCCAAAGGGGACTAAACACCAGAGGTGGATTCAGGAAGAAAATGCGACAGTCCTACTGTCTGTCCTTCTCTCAAGAGACAGATGGCACAATTGTCTACTACGGGACAATTGTCCTCAGCATCTTCTCTTTGCCCTTTCTGAACCTTCCCCTAAATTTCCAGGTAATAGCACAGAAAGAGACTCTGGCCCTCTCAAGGCCTCCCAGGCCCACCCCGGGGCCCCATCTCTGCAAGCAGTCTTCCAGGTCTCCCTTCCATTGTCTGAGCTCTATTCCCTAGGGACATGTGTCCCATCTCATGGAAATCACCAGGTCCTAAGCACACGGGTCCCCTTCCCTAGCAATTTGTGTGACTCTGATTTAGCCTATAACTGGGGACTGGGGGACAGACATTTTCCTGTGCTCTTTAATTCCAGTATGTAATTAATTAATCCTTTAATAAATCAACAAATGACTGAATGAGTCTTCCGGACATTCAGCATACCGTTTTATTAAAACTTAATTTGGAGTTTATGGACTAGCAGAAAGACCAGAAAACACCCACGACAATGAGCAACTGTTTTGCTCTCCAAGCACCATCCTGGATGCAGGAGCTTGGCAGAGGCTCATTCCCTGAGACAGGCAAGGCTGAATGTGCTGGGAGAAGGGAAAAGTAGCAGGATGTGAATTCTACTGAAAGCTTCTAAATTATGGATAGGGCATTGCAATTCTTTTGTACCAGTGTTGATGTTCATTAGGACTGAGGGCACTTGTCTGCATAGAATGATGACACTACCAGCAAAGAAGTTTCCTGGATGGGCCAATTGCTCAAAGATTCATTGTTTTAGCCACAGTTGGGTATCAATTTTATTTGGTTTCCTGACAGTTTGTACTCTCCTGGGACTATGGCACCATGTGTGGCCTTGAGTCATCAACAACATGTCTGGAGGGGTTCTTCCCAATAAAGTCATGTCACCCAATTCACTTCTGGCTCACAGCTATCATTGCCAGTTTATGGGTATGTAGGTGTCCTGGATCTGGGGAAATAATTCCATTTCAAACCCTATGCCCCATTGCCAGGCCATTAAGACAGGCCATATGTCCTGGTGTTTTTAGTTTTGAATATTCTCATCATAATCTCATATGGCTGTAATTGTACTTATAAGAGTTTTTTAATTTAAAAATCTTTCCAAGATAAAAGTAATACTATCATATTATTAACATTCTGGAAAATTAGGAAGAACATACAACCATAATACCACCATCTGAGTGTATAGGTAAATACAGGTGTATAATTTTCCCAGCATATTACCAAAATAAATACATGATTTTATATTCTACTTTCTTCAACCAACATTGTATTAAAAAAATATTTCTAAAGAAAGCATTTTAATGGAAGGATAATATTACATTCAGGAGATTACTGAAATATACTAATCATATTTCAGTTCATAATTTTCACCAGTATTAATAAATCCACAATAAATATCATTGTACAGATATTTTTTATATTTAATTTTCCTTAGTTTAGGTTCTGCAAGTTGAATTATATGTTCAGAATATGAATATGCTTATGACTCCCAATACATATTGCAAATAACTTTCCAAAAAAGTTATACAAACAAACACGATCATCAGCACTGTGTGAGGGGGTCTGCTTGCTGCCATCGCTACCAACAAACCAATGTGTTGAAGTTTTGAAATGATTCTCAGGACAATTTCATTGAACAACACTCCCTAATTGTAGAAGGAAAAGTAGAATACAAAATGGACAATAAACAGATGATATACTGAAGATGGTAAACTGACCGGGGGTATCTTTTAAGCCAGGTGCGTAGGGAGAAGAAAAGCACTTCAGTGATGCTCCAAAACACTATTTCCAATGATCTATTTGAGGACAGCTAGGAAACAAAGCAATGGCAGGCAAATGAACAAGTGGGCAGCAATTAAGGCAGCTTTTCCAGAAGAAAAAGTCTTTTGGAAGAATTGAGTCTGAGGCCAAACTCCACACCATGCACATTGCTTCATACAAGGGTCTGCTTTCTGTGCAGATACCTGGGAAAGCACACTGGCCCCACACTGGTCTTCTCAACTCCACTCATAGACACAACCTATGGGAATGACTCTATTCTTTTTCAATGTAACAATAAATATGAGCTAGACACTTCATGTTGGTTTTGTCCATTTAATAAGCTTGGATCAAGCACACTGGCCCTTCAGCCTCCCTTGGCAGCTCTGAGAACCATGTTCGAGTGTAGAGTGGCTGAGCTTGGAAATGCCTGTTTGGGGCTCCCCCGGCTCAGTCGCTGCACCTCTCTGGGGCTATGAGACAGTAGCACCTCTACACCCAGAGGAAGTAAAATGATGGAAAGAATTTTCTGAGTCCCACCAGCAGGCTAACTGCTGATATTCACCCTCCTTACTGGAGGCCTCCTGCATTTAGATATTAATTTTTCTGAAAGTCACTGCAGCTTTTAGTATTAAGCATTATGGTATACATTCTGGATTTTAGCAATTTACTGTGAGGTTCTTAATATATTTATATCATGCTCTAGAAAAATTGACCAGTTCTTGGTAGGTAAAAATACTATCAAATGTGGCTATTTTAAAGATGTTCAAGGTAAATGTCTGATAACTGGCACTAAGCATACTCAAATAGAAGTTTGCAAATCATGTGAGCAGCACAGCATGGGCTCTTGAGCAGAGGCAGAGCATGGACTCCCGGATCTGCCACTTGCTAGCCTGGCCTTAGCCTGCTTCCTTATCTGTCAGTGGGGAAGAACAAGATATTATTACTTGAGAAAACAGCCAACACACTCAGCACAGTGCTTGGCATACTACAAATGCTCAATCAATATAAGGTATGTTTATTATTTTATATTATTATGAGGGAGTTCATCAGATGAAAGCATGGGATAAGCAGGGATGTTTACATCCCTTTGAGTTTAATATAATCAAATCATTAAACTATCTTTGCTGAAGAGCTAAATTCTTCTTGGATTAATTGGGGAGGGGAAATTGATATGCCTTTAAGTGTAAAAAGATGCATTCTTGAGGTCTCCACATGAGTTTCTTTCCCGTCAGCCTTCATTTTCTTAAGTGTCTGGCACTTCGTAGATGCTCACTTAGACTTGTTGAATGGAGATAAATATTTCTTTTTTTTATATTGAGGTATAATTGACATATAACATATTTTCAGGTGTATAATATAATGATTCTATGTTTCCATATAATGCAAAATGATTGCCATGATAAATCTAGTTAACATCACCATACATAGTTAAAAAAATTTCTTTCTTGTGATGAGAACTTTTAAGATTTACTCCCTTAGCAACTTACAAATGTGCAGTCCAGTATTATTAACACTAATCACCAGGCTGTACATCACATTCCCAAGACTTATTCACTTCGGAGGTTTGTACCTTTGACTCCCTTTGCCCATGTCACTCCTCTCCCATTCCCTATCCTCATCCCCTGCTTCTGGCAACCACTGATCTGTTCCCTAAACCTCTGAGCTTGGTTTTGTTGCTGTTTTAAATAGCACATACAAGTGAGATCATACAGTATTTGCCTTTCTCTGTCTGACTTATTTAACTTAGCATTATGTCCTCGAGTTGTGTCATAATGCCCTGGCCCATGTATTTCCTGGCACAATGCCATCCATATTGTCACAGATTCTTTGTCTTTAGTATTAATTCCTCTCAAACTCACCACCTACCCCACCAATACTATATTCATGCATGAAAACCTAATCATGTCTCTTCCCTCCTTCTTATCCTTCCACAGAGCCCAAGTGCCTTAGCTTGATGGACAAGGCCGCCTAGGACCACGTCCCTGGTCCTTCTCCAGCCTCCTCTCCGGAGATGCCCTGCCTTGATATATGTGCCCTGTTTTTTTTTTAAACATTTGCCTCGGTACCTTCTCTCATGCTGTTCCCCCTACTTGGAAAGCCCTTCCACCTTTCACCAGATCTATTCCTATTCACCTTCCAGGTTCACGTAAATTCTTATATTTTGTAAAAACACCAAAAGAAAAGTTTGCTTATGAATATCATGTTATGTGAATGTCATATGGTGGAAAGACATCAAAATACCTGAAAACATAAGCTCAAAGTATTGGGAGTAGTTATCTATAATACTTTTCTTCTTTATAATAAGAAAAAATTAAAATATATTTTTAAATTTTAAACATTCTAAAGAAAGTCTAGGTATAATCCCTTCCTAAATGCTCCCTAACCCTGAGGTTTCCTTGGCGTTTCCACAGAACTCCTGCCATGCCTTTAATGAGAATGCATCACACTGGGTTGAGATGCTCCCTTTCTCAATAGGCTCAATCTTTTTGTCTATCACAAGTGCCTCACATAGTGCCAGGCACACAGTGGGCACCCAAGAGATGCTTGCTGAGTCGACCTGAATCGCCCTGTTCATACCTGGTGAGAACCTAGCAGGTCCTGTGAACCCCTGCAGGTGGATCTGGTCACACCTTTGTAAAAGGTAAACAAGCAGAGCAGTTTTTGTGTCTGCCATTCCCAGTCACTTTGTCAGGAGCCGGTATGTTTTCCCATCTTTGCACTTCAACTTTTACTGACTAAAAATATGATATAGTCTCACTGTAAACATAAAAATCTGGGAAATATAGACTGCACTAAAGTAAGAAAAAAAGATATATTTCATCCAAATACCTGTATTTTTTTTTTGGTATCATTAATCTACAATTACATGAAGAACATTATGTTTACTAGGCTCCCCCCTTCACCAAGTCCCCCCCACATACCCCTTCACAGTCACTGTCCATCTGCGTAGTAAGATGCTGTAAAATCACTACTTGTCTTCTTTGTGTTGCACAGCCCTCCCCGTGCCCCCCACGCACTATACATGCTAATAGTAATGCCCCCTTTCTTTTTCCCCGCCCTTATGCCTCCCTTCCCACCCATCCTCCCCAGTCCCTTTCCCTTTGGTAAACGTTAGTCCATTCTTGGGTTCTGTGATTCTGCTGCTGTTTTGTTACTTCAGTTTTCCTTTGTTCTTATACTCCACATATGAGTGAAATCATTTGGTACTTGTCTTTCTCTGCCTGGCTTATTTCACTGAGCATAATACCCTCTAGCTCCATCCATGTTGTTGCGAATGGTAGGAACCTGCTATTTTTTTTAACCAGAATTATTTGGATCAATTTTTTCTAATTTTCTTTTCCCATTTCCTGGCACATGCAGTAATTTTCAAATTTCCTAAGCACTGGGCTGATGAGGAAGTAGAGGGATTTTGTGCCCAAAGATGAAAATTTGTAGGGGCCACAGTGCATATAGAAAGATTTTTAATAATCTCTCTATAACCCATGTGCAATGTTGGAATTTCTTTGTTTCCTAATGAGTTTAAGGGGCCTGGGGAGAGGACCTTTGCCTCTGGGATGACAGGGGATCTCTCTTCCATCAGTGACTCCTGGTAACCAGGTACAGCTACTTTCCATGTTCAAGATAATGCAGAAGACCAAGAAAAGCTGATAACTCTTGCAGGAAATGCAAAGATACCATCCCAAGATAACTGACTCTTACATAAAGTTGGGGAGAGCCTTTTCCAGGGAATAAGGGGATTTTCCTGATGATTTGGAGTAGCAGTGAGGTGTCTTTGATGACTGAGAGAAAATATCCAGGGAAGAGCACTGATCACAGGCCCAAAGATAGCTTCTCTCTCCCACTCTTTCATACCCCCCTTTGATAGCATCTCATCAATGAAATGTTACCACTCCTAGGAATTCCAGCATAGAAAGGTCTTCCTGCCTCTTAATCCTACAATTACTGTTCTATCTCAGAGACTAGGGGACATTTGGGGCTTCTGATAATGTGCTATTGCTTAATTAAGCTTCATCCTTAAACCTCATGTAGAAGTGCAGGGCCCATACTATGCCCTAGGGGATACTGACTAGCTACAGAATAGGGAACTGACGCCAAATAAAGCATGACAAGTCCCCTAAAGGTAACCGGGACCTTCATGCTTCAAAAAGGTTACAGTTGCAGACAAATTTGGGAAATATTAATAAGTGCTATTTTAAATTGCAGTAATATATAGCAGGCCACCCATTTTGAAGCAGTAAAGGCAGATCTAGAGTTTGTGGAGTCCGTACTCTGTCAGGTGCTCCATATTCATCCTGTCTGGTCCTTACAGTGACCTGGCCAGGTGGGATTTTATTATACTTTGTGGAAATTGCACTCATTTCCACAGATGAGGAAACTAAGACCCAGAGAGGTTCACACTTGGCTGGTAATAGGTGGCAGAGCTGCTGTTCAAAACTCAGCCCTGTTTGAGTCCAAAGCCCCTCCCTTCCTGCTTGGTCTCCTCTTGTCCTGGCTCTGCCATGGTGGGGTGGGAGTGAGGAGGTGTGGGGGAGGGATTCTGCTGGAGGGAGGAATACATAGGAATTGAACTCAGATGGCATTGCTGACTCTCTCAAGCAAGCTGGGACAAGGACCCCACACAACTTCCTGGGGGAGGTATCATGCCAGAATATTTAGAAGGGAGAACAGAGCAATAAGTTTGGCTATTATGGAGCTCTGCCATGGCTGTGGAAGGCCCAAAAGGTCTCAGAAGAGACCTGGGAATGTCTTACCTTGTTCATGGAGATCTCACATGGAACAATTTGCTTTCCAGAAAGGGAAGGATGGATGTGGCAAGAACACAAGTAGATGCCTGCCCTTCAGACCCATAGAAGGAAGCCAGGTTCTGCTGCTAAAGAAGCTCAGAGCACCGTGAGAAATCCGGGTGGGAGCTATGGAAAGTTAAGGGAAAGAGCACTTTAGGTGGGGAGCAGGGGGCAGGTTTGCCAGATTTAGCAAATAAAAACACAGGTTGACCAGTTAAATTTGGATTTCAGATAAACAACGAATCATTTTTTAGTATAAGTATGTCCCATGCACCATTTTATCTGGCAACACTCACCCAGCTTGAGGACTATCAGGAATTCAGCGAGCTCCCTCTATGAGGCCTGGTGACAATGTGTCCAGGATGCATCTTGCCATGGATGGGTGTCAGTGTTGGCAGTGGTCCTGGGAAGCTTACTGCCCCAAGGGAACCAAACGAATCCTAAACTCTCACATTCAGCCTAGGAAGGGATAAGCCATCTGAAACTGCAGAGGAGAAGATGGACTTTTAGACTAAGGTGACTTAGAAATTGTCATTGTACAGGCAAAGGCTTCACATTTAAGGTTTGATAAGATATGTTCTACAATTAGAATTCTTAATACCATCAGGAAAAATAAGTTAATTTGTGTGGCATTTCAAGTATACTTACAAATGCTAGGAATGAGAGGGGGGCTTTTTAGAAAGAATTTTACTTTCTTTTTCGATACTAGAAAAAGGGGAACAACAATGCTTGGAATAGTAAAAAGTGGTAGCAGGCACTTTGGGGCTCCCTGGTAATTCAGGTCCTTTCCTTGTGGCAGGTGAGCTCTGTATAGTACATTCTCACTCTACCAGAGGAAACCCAACTCCTCTTTTTCCTTGAGACATACTTGTTGAACCTTGTTTCTTCTGTATTTGAACAGTGAATTCAGTTCTTGGATAAGAGGAGATACTTTTAAAAAGAGATAATCCTCTTTTTTAAGGGTTGGCTTTCTTTTTTTGGAATTTTCTAACCGGTTAATTAATACTTAAGAAGTGTCATGATCATTATATCAGAATGTTGGAGTTTGAACGAAGGGCTAGGGGAATGTCTTGAACACTGTCTAATGTCCAAGAAGTTCACCAGGTTCCATACATGTGTGAATTCACTGCAGTTCAAGGCTGGCTCCAGGCCTTAAGGTCTTAGAAACCACTCTAACTTTTGGCACTCTTTTCTCATAGCAGACCTAGTTCACTAGTGTACTAGGCAGACCTAGTACACTAACCCAGTTCACCAATATGTATGTAGAGCCGAGACACCCAATTATTCCTTTACAAAGAGGATAAGAAGAACCCCTGGACAGGCAGTGACAATGGGGCCAGGGAAGGAGGAGAGCAGCTTTTCAGAGGTAGGGTCAATTGGCCTAAGGAGAGAGAGGTAAAGGCCTGCCTGCACCCTTTGGTTTGAGCAATTGAAGATATGCTAGTTACTGGGCAAGACGAAAGGAGGGGTTGTTTTGGAGAGAGGACTGGGGTCTAAAGCCTCAGGATATATATTTCACCAAAGTACAAGTAAAGACAAATAATATATAGATGATATAAGGCATTTACTAGGCATGTCAACCATTTATTGGGCTCCCACAATACATACTGAAATATCTACAGATGAAATGATGTAAAAAGTCTGGGGCTGCTTCAAATTAATTCAATGGCATAGGTGGGGGGGTGGTGAGTAGAGGTATAGACGGAACACAAGATTGGTCATGAGCAGATCATTTTTGAAGCTAAGTAATGGGTACATGGGGGTTCATCATGCTATTCTCTACATTTTGGTCACATCCTTGACAGTTTCGTGGAACTGGATGAGATCACCTAATAAGGAGGTGCAGCAAGTTGGGAAAGGCCCCAAACTGGAGGTGGAGCAGGGGTGGCAGTGCTAGACTAGTAGGAAGAAACAGATGAGACCACTGTTGTCCTAGGCTTTACATTCTTTAAGAGAAGAGACTGACAATAAATGAGTAAACAAATATGACAGATTTAAATCCAAGTGATAAAGAAAAGGGTGATATGATAGTGGCATAAGGATAGCACCAGGGTGGCCATAATCAACAGCTTCATGGAGCAGTAATCTGCACTGGATTTACAAGCCAAGTGGTACTTTTAAAATCCTTCTACTTTTTTTACTTCTACTTATAAACAAATCGTAGTAGCCATAAGCATTCCATTCTCGGGAAAGTGTTTGAACTTAAAAGTTTTTGCTCCTTCCCTCTCCAATTTTTTAAACTCCAAATTTTGAAGCCATGATTAGCCCAAGAGTTGTAGAAGTAGAGCCAATTCAAGACTGTCCTAGTGCGCCTTTAGAATCCCTTTTTTCCCCGGAAGCTCTCCTCCATCCCCATTCTCTGGACCCTAAAAGTCCTTTTCTCCCTTCAGCCAGTTTTTGCAACTCCTACGGCTCCAAAAAACCTCTTTCCTTCCCATCCTTCAAGTGCTGCTTTCCCATGGGAGGCAATGCTCCCAGAGGATGCCAGCCCTAGGAGGGCAAGATCATTGCTCATGTTCACTGCTGTATTCCCAGCACCCAGAATTGTGCCTACACATAGCTGGCACTCAATATTCACTGAGAGAGCTTCTTAAAGCTGCTGGGTAGATAACCAGTCACCAACCCAGGTGCTTACGTAATCCATCCCACTACTAGAAAGAACTGTGGCCTATCCTCACACAGATAGATACTACTTCCATTTCACAGATGTACAGCTGAGTTGGTTCAGATAATCCAAGATCAGAACTATTTCACCCAAAATACTCTTTTACTTCTTTAAAAATATTTAAGCTTAAAAATAGGAGCTATGGAAAAATCTAGCATATAAACCATTTCATATCATTTAATATTTCTTAGAGACATGGTGAATTTAATTGACGTCGAACACCCTTCATGGATGAACCCATCAACAATTTTGGTTTCCAGAAAACAAAACATAGCAAAAAACAAACAGGACAAAACTCTTCTTGGCCCAAATTACAGAAACTCTTCCCTGGCAGCTCAGCTTAGGCTTTTTTGCATGTGCTTTCAGGATAGGCTTGCAGATTGCATGTGTTCTGCACAGCAACCACGGACACTTAACATTCATTAAATAATAATGAAACAAGAGGCCTGGATTTATTTGTTGCTCCTGGGTCTGTTTCTCACTTCAGTGACCTTGGACAAATCTATTCCCCCCTTCTATTTCCATATATCCTTTTCAGGATAATGTTTATGACTAAAATGCTTTATAAAATCTCCGGATTACAAATAGAGGTTAGTGCCCTCCGTCCACGAAATTTATCTTTCCTATCCTATGGGACATCCGCAGAAACATCTTACAGGAAATCATCCCACAGTGCGGCGCGTGGTCGCTAGCCAGGGCTAGTTAGGGTATTCTAGGGCCAGGGAACCCACAGCGTGGTAACCTGAGCCGGAAAGTGTTTTCTACGCCGCCCAGAATTGGAGAATGGGCAAAGGTAACAAACCCAGACCACGCTTTCCTCACTTCTGCCGTTGTCCACTGCCTCAGCTACGTCGGAGCTGCGGACAGAGTTTGGGTACACTATCCGGGCGTTCCACCCAACGGACCGGTCACGAGGCCCGGCCACGGCTAGGTCGGGCTCCGGACCGGCGTGGGAAGGCCCACGAAGTACAGCCATCTTGCCTCGGGCACTGAGGCCAGGGCGCGGGCGAGCCGGGGACCGGCGCTACAGACGCCGCCCGCTCTCTCAGCAGCCCTGGCAGGGCCGCCGAGAGAAGATAAAATTGTCCGCGGGAGACTGGCGCGGAAGCGGAGAGAGGGCCGTGTTGCACGGCCGGCTGCTTAAACAGCCCCTCCAGACAGCGGCGCGGGATGCGGGGTTCCCGCTCCCCGGCGGCAGCGCTCCCGCCGGCAGCGCTCCCGCCGGGCCGCGGGGCCGCCGGCGCGCCCTCCTTCCGACCGGCCGCGGGAGCGCGCGCCCTTCCCCCTCCCCGCCGGGCCCCAAGGTGCCCGCAGGCCGGGCGTCCACTGGACACGCACCCGCCACCCCGGCCCCGGCCGCCCGAGCCCAGAGGTGCGCGTGGGCAGCGGGCTGGGGGTGGGTGCCGGGAGCGGGAGCCGGCGGGGACAGCGGGCGGCTGGCGGCCCTCCGGCACGTCTATTGTGTTTGTACACACAGTGCGCGGCTGCCGCGGGCGGGGAGAGAGGCGAGCACGCGCCGGCAATCGGGCGCGCGGGGGCGGGGCGCGGGGGCGGGGCGAGCCTTCCCTCCATTGTGTGTGATTGGCTGGCGCACGGCGCGGGGGCGGGGCGGCGTGTGTTGGGGGTAGCCTCGGTGTCAGCCATCTTTCAATTGTGTTCGCAGCCGTAGACGCGCCGCCGCCGCTTTCCAACGCCAGCGCCGCCTCTTGCTCGCCGAGCTCCAGCCGAAGGGGAAGGGGGGTAAGTTTCCTCGCCCGCCCGCTTTCCCGGAACCGATCCCCGCTTGCCGTCAGCCGCGGGCCGAACCCCGGAGGTGCGGGAGGACACCACAGCCCCTCCGGCTTGGCCCGCAAACTTTTCGCCCCAGAAATGGGGGTGAGGAGCGAGTTTCTTCTTGCCTCAGGCGGCGGCGGCGGCGGCGGCGGCGGCGGCGGCAGCAGCAGCAGCAGCAGCAGCAGCAGCAGCAGCAGCAGCTCCCCCGTCTTTCGCCGCCTCAGCCCAACAGCAGCAACCGCCGTGGCGCCGAGCCTGCTCTCCTTCCTCCCCGCGCCCTCGGCTGCTCTTTCTTCGGTGAAATCCCGCCCGCCGCCCCTTCTCGGGACCCCAGACCCTCACCAGTACCCGCGCGGGCCCCTTAACTACCGACCCCAGGCCCGGAGTCCCGGTTTTCGGGCGGGAAAAGGGTGGAAATCGCCGCTGCTTCCCATCCCGGGGTAACTCGCTTTCGCTGCCTCCCCACAGTTGTTGCTAAGCTTCACCATCTTGTCTCTTCTCTGGTCACCGACCATATTTTTTCCCCCGTTTCTCTCTTCCCCATTTCACAAAAGAAGAAAAAAATTTTAAAGAGGGACATTTTTTTCTTCTTTTTTGGAGAAGCGGAAACTTGATGCATTTGAAATGCAAAAAAACTTTTGCATTTTGGAGGGCGGCACGTGGCAGGGGTCGGGGGCTTTTGGAGCATTTGGTGTTTTGTCTCCGGGAGGGAGTCGGATACGTTTTGCGATTGTTTCCATCTTGCTGAGGTCTGGGCGCGGAGTGTGCGGGTCGGGCCGAGCCTGGGCGCAAAACCAAAAGTTTGCGTGGTGCGGGGGCGGCCGGCCGGGTAGTTAGCCGGGGTCCGGGGCACTTTGTGTTGGATGCGGAGCCTGCGGGACCGGACGCCAGAACGGGCTTTGTGGAATACTCGCCGGTGGTAGCTGTGACCCGTGTCTTCTGAGACGCCTTTTTGTCAACATAGCTGTGCAGAGGTCCCCCACAAGAGTGTTTTCAGATATTTACAGCAATCTATCAACTGCCGGACTGGGGGTGAGGGGGGCGGGGGCAAAACCTTTTTCGCTGTAATTTGACTCGACCTTTCTGTGGTTTGTGGTTTCGGTCTTTTGACTTGTTTGTGAATTGAATGTTTACAGACATTTCTAATTTCTACTTTAAAGAAATAGAGGCAAAAGCTGTGAGGGGTCTTTTTGTTTTGTCGTTTGTCGCTCAGATTTGGCATTTTGAGAGAGAACTGATGATAATGCCAGTAATTTTCTAGTACTGTTTGTTTCAAGAAGTCTTATTTGGGTGGTGAACGTAATCTGTACCCTTTCAAATTACACATGGATGTTATAATTTGCAGATTTGGTGGCGGGTGGTGTGTGGAGTGTTGGGGGTGGAGGGGTAGTGGCAGGAGAACTTGTGTGTTTGGTAATTGGATGTGTGATTTTTGTTTTTTTAATGATGGTAGGTGAGTAAGTAAGGAGGTCTCTGTACCATGGCTCGTACCAAGCAGACCGCCCGCAAATCCACCGGTGGTAAAGCACCACGGAAGCAACTGGCTACAAAAGCCGCTCGCAAGAGTGCGCCCTCTACTGGAGGGGTGAAGAAACCGCATCGTTACAGGTATTAGAAAAATAAGAGGAAATGAAGGGACAAAGCCTACCTCCTGAAGCAGTATCCATAGAGTCAAACAAAAAGATGTGTAACAGGCAAACTTTTGCTTTAGAGAAACTGATGTTTTTATCCTTTTGAATATTTACTAATACTTGAAAAAATAAAATTTCTTCGGAGTTTTTATTAGGAACATTTAATTTGAAGCCATAATCGTATGCATAGCCCAAAGCAGACCTATTGCATCACTAATAACGTTAATGGGATAGATTAACATTTTATTTAGCTGTTAGTAATAATATAGTATTAAACAGTAGAGTGTGTTAATACCTTTTTCTTTTGAGGCTGCTCTTGCGTTTGGTAAATTAATGTAGCATAATCAAGATGGGGAGTTTTTAGTAAAGTTCCCGTCCCTCATTTATTTGAATTGTTTTATTTCCTTTTATTAGCACATTTGGTTTTGAACTACCTTGAGCAGTGTTGTTAAGCGCTTCTGCCATTAGAGGGCAGAAGTTGTCCATACTTACGTAGCCTCTGCAAATTGTTTTACAGTTAATCTAAAATGCTCATACAGTGGAAGAAGTAAGTCAGAATTGAGGTAAATGTCTTTCTGACATTACTTAGTAAAAAAAAAAAAAAACGAGACCTCTTCCTTATGGCAGAGACACTATATTCAAGAGCATTCAAATGTAATCAGTCATGAGAGATGGGCAAAGTAAAGGTATTCTGGGATTTTGAACTTAAGTAAATGCAAGTGTATTTCTTAAGCTCATTGGGTGATTATGTTAGGTCTTTTAGAATAATTGAGGGTGCCAGGTGGGAAGAAGAGTGATGCCAAATTTTGAAAAGTTTGAACAAATTTTACTTCATTAGTAGCCTGATACCTCCCCAGTTGTCATTATAAATGTGTGTTATGTGTATGTGTTAGAAAATAAATGGGACTTTGTTAACTCCCTGCAGCCTCTACTTCAATAACATGCTTTTTGCTTTAAAGGTATTGTTAGGTTGCTCTTAATAAGCTGGAATATGCAGGTCATTAATTGATAAGTGAAATTTGGTACAACAGCTGAAGAATAGTTGGATGTTTATTTTTTGAAAAAGGATTGCATTTCTTAGAAGCTGACCACTTATCCTTCCGTTCTTTATTTGGTAACCATTTCTGTAAATTTTTATTAAAAAAATTTTTTTTTAAGGCCTGGTACTGTGGCACTCCGTGAAATTAGACGTTATCAGAAGTCCACTGAACTTCTGATACGCAAACTTCCCTTCCAGCGTCTGGTGCGAGAAATTGCTCAGGACTTCAAAACAGATCTGCGCTTCCAGAGTGCAGCTATTGGTGCTTTGCAGGTAAAAAGGCTGGTGGGAAAGGCTTTAGAGGTGGTGGTCCTACTATGTGCCAAGAAGGAAGAGTTCTAAATTTTGTGTGTACTTAGAATAATTTAATCATCACAAGTTTATGAAGTAGGTGATATCTTTATTTCACTGTTGAGATGTTAGATTAAGCTGCTCAAGATCATAAAGAAAATGTAATTTGATCCCATTTGATTCCAAAGCCTAGTGTGCATTCCAATGTACCATTTAAAATGTTTAAACATTGCACTAAAAACAATGTTTAAAGGAAAAAGATCCCTCTGATTTGGCTTATGGGTGCTGTAGGTCATTAAGAAGACATGGGACTAAAAGTCTGTATTGGTAATCCATTTCAGACAGTGAATGGTATAAGGCAATGTTAGGACAAATGTCTTCCTGGACCTGAAGAGGCAAATGTACGTGGAGAGAGCATAGTGTCCAGGATGGGAACATGGTGCATTAAAGAATTGTTTGTTGAGATAAAAGCAGCTGTGAGTGGTATTTAGATTTAGGATTGGATTGATGATAGGCAGCAAGGTGTACTTAAAGGTGTTACTGGGCATGTAGAGGGACAGGGACTTGAAGACTTGAAGTTTGCTAAAGGAGATTATGGATTTCCACCGCAATGGGAATCATATTGAATTTAATCTTAGCTGCAGGGTGTCAGAATCTTGAGAAATACTCTTCTGGAGGTGGGTATGTATTTGAAATATTTGTGGTTTATGCCAGGATTAAAATTTGAAATGCCCACAAGTAAGATAATTTGATTAGGTATGTGGGTATGTCATCGCTTAAGTAACCTATTTTATGTTGTGTGTTTGGCATTCGTTTGGTGTATCTTCAGGTATGGTAAGGCTATTTGTCCATCAAAACAAGGGGCTGGAGGTGATTTAAAATGCTGATTGTCAGGCACCACAGACCTAAATCAGAATCTCTTTAGGGGGAGTGTCCATAATTTACATACACTTCATTGGAGGAATTTCAAGGCTGCTGTTGCTTAGCCAAGCCTTTGCTTTATATGTGAGGACGATCTGATAGGTGGATTCTGCACTGATATGTAATTGGTTGAGTTGTTTCCATGGTTAGTCTGAACTGCATTTGATTGGTGAATTCCTGGAGTAGGCATTCATTAAATTCTCAGTGAATTGAAATGACTGAAATTTCAAAGTATAAAAATCTTCCAAGGCTGTAACCTAAAACTTCATATTGTTTTAGTAACTGATTATCTTCAGATCTTATTTTACTTATTACTGCAGTTGCAAATCACATAACCCATTATATTGTAAAAACAAATATTACTAAGATTCTCAAGCATTGATACAACGCTGCTAATTTTGTTTTCTAGTTAGAGTTGGCAGGACTCTGCTGGAAGTACACATTATACCTGAAAGTCCAACAGATTTTTCGTTTAAGTGACAGTGATAGACCCTTGTAAATCGGGGTTACTAGACAATCTGGGGAAAAGACTACCTTTTAAAAATACACATGTAAGCTTCACCTACTGCTGTAATTACAGTATGTGCTTTATATTTGTCAGTAAGAAGTTGTATTGGTTTGAACAAAATGTTCACTTCTGCTTCTAGGAAGTATTCTACATTAGGATAGCTCTGTATGGGAAGGAATAATCTTTGTTACAAGTTTTTTGTTTTGTGTTTGCTTTTTTAATACATACACTTCAGTTCTCGCCTGAGAGTTTGGATTAAGTATCTTTGTGTTGAAAATGAACATTGGTAAGTTGTGAAATGGTGGAAGCCAGATGTTGAATATACTTAAAATGTTGTGAGGATGCTATCATTTCCTTCCAGTTGTAAGATATTCTTTTGCCATTATCTCAAAATTAATTACATTCTTTTGGGCAAGACTTGTAATTCCCATTATAACCTTAATGTGTCGGAGGCTTTAGGACATTGCTAATATAATTGGAAACATACCTTTTATGGTCAAATCCCCTGTGAGTACTGAATCTTTTCCCAGAGCTGGCCAGATAGAACCTCATAAAACTGATGGCCAGGTTCTAAGACAACAGTTAGAGCCCCAGCTGCCACATGCCATATCTGAGTAGTACCAGGGGAGCCTATAGATCACACCATGCTTATTAAATGGTCTCAGAGTCACAGAACCTGTTGGCTTGTCTATATTAGAGGATCATAACGTTGTGTTTTGCAGAAACATTCTAGATTTGCATAATCCTGAAATATGCTGGGTTATACACAATTAAACTGGTTTCTTTACTGAGGAACTTCAGTCCTGGTATCTGATGTGTGTTGTGAACCCCTAAGAATAGGCTGTAGTATGCCATTTTTCCCCAAAGTTTTTACCCATTTCTAGACTATCCCTGATTATTAAGGACTTTTGTTTGTAACACCTTCTTTGTTTAGTTAAGGTATGAGGTACTGATTGCATAGAAAAGATGCAAATTTAAATTAGGGTTAAATAAAAAACAAATCAAGTGTTTATTGGATGTGTATGAGGGCAGGCCATTGTGAGTATAAAATGAGATCTCTATAACATAAGGGCATGAACAGATGGCTCGTGTACAAGGCCAGTGTGTGCAACAGGATTAGGTGAGTTCGGGGCTATCTGCACCTGGGAACCTTCAGGGAAGAGTTTTGAGCTAGACATTGGTAAACAAGACTCAGTTCTTTCTAAGAAATGCAGCAGAAAAACATTTAAGGGATGGTAAAACTTGGATGAAATAAGTTTTTATAAGAGAGAGAAATAAGGCTAAAAAGGATGACAGTATAAATGTGAAGGAAATGGTTTTTTTATAAGATGAAATAATGTAAATCATTTGGATTAATTGTTGCTGTGTTGGTACTCTTACAAGCAAAATACCAGTTTTATTGCAGAGTCAAAATGTAAAAAGCAGATCTGGCTATTACCATCTATATATATATCTTGTGTATTATATTATGGGGCTTGAGTTGTTCAAGTATTTGTTGTGTTTTCTTTTAGTTTTGGTATTACCTGAAGGTTCCAAGATAAAAATAGACAAAAATAGCAACTATATGTAAATCTCTTTCTTAGCATATCTTGGACAGAAAAATAAGTCCTTCATAGAGAAGGACAGAAGGTCAAATAACCTCTCATCTGATGCCCCAAATCCACTCAAATGGGTAGTCTGATCCCCGGAGTAGTGAGACAACAGTCTCTTCATTTCAAAATGAGAGGCAGATATTTTAACTTAGACTGAAGGATTCTCCAACTTTTCAGACAATTTAAGGCATACTAACAAGTTAATTACAAGAAGCTCTTCTTTTTCCTCTTCATACACCAAGTGTCAGTGACTGATTCATACAACAGTTTTTGAGTGATAGGGATAAGGATGCCTTCAAAGAACCTTAGAGTCACTAGAAAAACCGGAGGGGATTAATAATATGAGAGGGTAACAAACGCCATTGTAGTTTGGGTCACATAGAGGAAAGGACATGTAGTAGGGGACATGGGGGAAGTCCTATTTCCTAGGCAAAATAGGTGAAAGTAAGTGAGACACTAATCTGGTGTGTTCTGGGACCCACCCCTCTCTCGTGATGCAGCTCTGAGGTGTAAAAGGAAAGGTAGGTGAAGACCACATGATGAAAACTAGTTGTCAGCTGTGTTGAGTTACTGGGCAAAAGCAAAGGTTCAAACAGTGTATTGGAGCAGGAATAGCATCCAGAATGACGGGAACACTGGTGGGAGGAGAGTTTGGATTATTGCTTTGGTTTGGATACATGATTCCATTTCTCTCTCTAAGGATGAGAATGTTAGGGTTTAAACTGGATTTCTTGGCTTTACTCACAACACATTACAGTTTACTAGAAATTAAATACAGAAACATTAAGCATTGTGATTATTTGATTTTTGTGTAATATGGTAAAGATTTACATATTTGAGCTTTTCATTTTTCATAAGTTGTCTTTCAGCTTTGTCTCACAAATTTTAAAATGTAAGCATTTGGTAAAATAGTCAATGTCTTCAGAAGTAGGTTTTTAAAGGGTTCAAAACCCTCAGCATTTTAACTGATAAAAGATATACCTTAACTGTTGGCAATAACCCCATTAATATTTTTTTGTTTATTCTTGTTGTAGGAGGCAAGTGAGGCCTATCTGGTTGGCCTTTTTGAAGACACCAACCTGTGTGCTATCCATGCCAAACGTGTAACGATTATGCCAAAAGACATCCAGCTAGCACGCCGCATACGTGGAGAACGTGCTTAAAGAATCCACTATGTTGAAAAACATTTTGTTCTTTAAAAAAAAAAATTCTCTTCTTCCTGTTATTGGTAGTTCTGAATGTTAGATTTTTTTTGCCATGGGGTCAAAAGGTACCTAAGTATATGGTTGCAAGTGGAAAAAATAGGGGACAGAAATCAGGTATTGGCAGTTTTTTCCATTTTCATTTGTGTGTGAATTTTTAATATAAATGCGGGGACATAAAGCATTAATGAAAGTCAAAATATTTCAGTGAACAAGTTTCAGCAGTTCAACTTTATAACAATTATAAATAAACCTGTTAAATTTTTCTGGACAATGCCAGCATTTGGATTTTTTTAAAACAAGTAAATTTCTTATTGATGGCAACTAAATGGTGTTTGTAGCATTTTTATCATACAGTAGATTCCATCCATTCACTATACTTTTCTAACTGAGTTGTCCTACATGCAAGTACATGTTTTTAATGTTGTCTGTCTTCTGTGCTGTTCCTGTAAGTTTGCTATTAAAATACATTAAACTATACCTGCCTTTGGTCTTTATTATAAACCTTACCCATATTGTTCACTTGAAATTTCTATATTTAAAACAATACCGACTGTTTTGTCACCTAATATCTGAAGCATAAGATTGCCGAGTGAAATAAAGTACAAGTTTTCTATGGGAAGCCGCTGGCTTTCCTCCTAATTTTTTAGAATTTGTAGATGGTGTATCTCTGCCCAAACCATATCTTAACTCTTTCGATGTGTTGTATTCTAAACCAGTAACTCCCAAACCTAACTGCCCAACAGAATCACTTAGAAGTAGGTAAATCTGTGTAAGCTGTGAACATAACTACATTTATTAACATACTACACTATTAAGAGTGTTTTTAAAGGCAGTTTGGATGCAAACAACAGTCCAGCTAAAAAACGAGTGCTCTGGAGATCTGGTTATTTTAAGATGCTGTGTATTAACCGTGAAGTAATAAGCATGAAGTTAGTTAGAACTGTTTTATTTAGCATAGAATGATAAATGTGAAGTTAAAGCTTTTATGATGTATAACATCCCTAATGTACTGATAAAAGTTGCAGCATAGGAGTTTGAAGTGGCCCTGGAAGTGAAGTGAAATACCAGTGGGCTAAGAAAAGATTGTGTCAGTAAGTATAGGACTGGGCTTATGTTCTTAATGGTTATAAGCTTTTTAGCAGTAACTTCATTTTTAGGCTATTAGGCTATAGGTCATACAAAATACTTGCATGAGAATTAGGATCTGTAGAGCCTGTCTCTAATTTGTTACCAAGGGGCCCTACTTTTAGTGATGGTTTGCTTAGTTTTAGGCAAACACTACTGCTACCTGGAGTATTGACCAGAACATCTATCCAGTGCAACACAAGCTACTAAAAGCCAATTGTTGCCAGATGTCTCCTGTTCATTTTCTTTTTATTATTTTTTTATTAAGTGTATTCAGCAGCCCCAGGCCTTCCACTCCTGGCTCCATTTCTCTTCTTCCTGTCAGTGAGCTGTGGTGGGGGAAGGGCTTGGGTCCCGCTGGGCCACAGCTTTGGTACGTTACCTGTTTCATGAGGTCTGCTCTTTTCTCCAGGTGTATGCAGTCTGGCGCCGTCCTCTCCTGTTGCTCTCAAGATTAGTTGTGCCATTTTCTAATTGTATCCAGTTTTAGGAGGAAGCCCCTGTCTCTCCTCTCACGCCGCCATCTTTAATACAATCCCCTGTTCATTTTCTGCAGTGCAAAGGGACAAAGGGTAAGCTTATTCATGAAAGAATTACCGGGGAAAATTGGTATCTCCAATAGAGTAGTAAAGTTAATTGCTAAAATCTTGTGCACCAGTTATTTACAAATAGGAGAGACCATCCCTTGAGTTTTTAGAATGAGTCTTAAAATTTGCTTTTAAATTTTAGTGAACTAAAAATGTATGTTTGTATCTCTTTATCCATTAAATGGCTGTTAGTTCATTTTGTTAAGTTTTTAATACATTTTAGGTACTAATAAGTGGTGTATTATAGAATCCGGCAGTTAGGAACATGGGGCAAAATAGAAGGATTTGGCACCCTGTGTACCTCTCTGGTCCATACACTGAGCCTCTTTCAGTATACCATGGTCTTTGCATTTGACATGTATTCTCATCTGTTCCCATGAAGTTAATTCATTCCTGCTTACCAAATGAGGCAATGATGTTTGGGACAATTATTGACTAGGGTCTGAACAATATGCATAATGGGTTTGAGCTCATGGCTATCCTTTGACTAGGGTAAATGGGTGACCTGCCACCCCCTTGGCCCCTGAGTAACGCTCAACAGTTGAGGCTGATAATCCTCTTCCCCTTGATGCTTTGGAGTCGCCATGTGACAACCCTGCTTCTCATGAAGTCCAGAGAGTTGGAGTTGGGCCTGAGGTCATGTGGTGAGACAATAGCTGAATTCATCGTTCAGTCTTTAGTATTTTCAACAAAGTAACCAGCTTTTGAGTATTAGAGTAACTTATGAAAATCACCAATTAATACCTCTTAAGTTTCCCAAAAAGATTCTGAAGTCTAAACTACAGATGATAAACTCTAAAATTACATAATAAGAAAGGTTTTAGGTAAGTAGGTTGGGGAAATTGGGAATACTGTATCTGGAAGAGCTTTCAGAAAAGAGTCTGGAAATATTCTTGTAAGTAAATGGGGGAAATCTCACTTGGCTAACATGGCCATGTGAGGTGAGTGCTTCAACAATGCCCAAGCTCTTGCCCTTCTGATCTTGACAGCCTAGAATGTGAGAGGAAATAAAATAGAATTTGCAAATTTGAACATAATGAGGATGATCTAGATACTGGGGAAGTAAAAATAAAAGGATGCTCTACCTCAATTTTAACTAGTAACCTATGAGGTGTGGGTAGTGTTATATACCGTATTTTATAGGTGAAGAAGCTTGCCTAAGTTCACACAGTAAATTAAGAAGATGGGATTTGTCCCCTGGTAGACTAAATCTAGGTCCTTACTCTTTAATTCCCATGCTCTAGGTGTGATATACAAATAACTTAAAACAGTTAATTTTGCCAGGGTGCTAGGAGTTAGAAACACATAGGGGATAAAAGACAAAGTTGGATATGAGGAGAGACATTACAGAAATCACCAAAAACTGCATTTGCAAATACACTCACCACCTGCTCAGTCTGAGCCGCTTTAAAAAAAATTTTTTTTATTAAGGTATGATTGATACACACTCTTATGATGGTTTCACATGAAAAAACAATGTGGTTACTACATTCACCCACATTATAAAGTCCCTACCCATACCCCAATGCAGTCACTGTCCATCAGTGTAGCAAGTTGTCAGAGATCTACTATGTCCCTTCTCTGTGATTCACTGTTCTCCCCATGATCCCCCACACCATGTATACTAAACATAATAACCCTCAGTCCCCTTCTCCCTCCTTCCCCACGCGCCCTCCCACATGCCTCCCCTTTGGTAACCACTAATTCATTCTTAGAGTCTCTGAGTCTGCTGCCATTTTGTTCCTTCGGTTTTGCTTCATTGTTATAGTCCACCAATGAGGGAAATCATTTGGCATTTGTCTTTCTCCACCTGGCTTATTTCACTGAGCATAATGTCCTCCAGCTCAATCCATGTTGTTGCAAATGGTAGGATTTGTTTCTTTCTTATGACTGAATAGTATTCAATTGTATATATGTACCACATCTTCTTTATCCATTCATCTACAGATGGACACATAGGGTGCTTCTATATCTTGGCTATTTGAATCTGAGAAGTTGTATTCTTTAGGTATATTCCAAGAAGTGGGATTCTGGGGTCAAATGGTATTTCTATTTTTAGTTTTTTGAGGAACCTCCATGTTGCTTTCCACAATGGTTGAAGTAGCTTACATTCTCACCAGCAGTGTAGGAGGGTTCCCCTTTCTGTGAATCCTCACCAACAGTTGTTCTTAGTCTTTTCGATGCTGGCCATCCTTACTGGTGTGAGGTAATATCTCATTGTGCTTTCAATTTGCATCTCCCTCATGATTAGTGATGTAGAGCACCTTTTCATGTGTCTGTTGGCCATCCGAATTTCTTCTTTGGAGAACTGTCTCTTCATATTCTCTGCCCATATGTTAATTGGGTTATTTGCTTTTTGGGTATTGAGGTGTGTAAGTTCTTTATATATTTT